TTCAAAATATTTGTTGGCTGAATTGTATTTTTTTTTTCTTCACATGACTTTTTAAAAATTGATAAATGCTTTCAAGATTATTTAAAAGGGAAACAAAATTGCTCAAGTTTAATAATGGCAGTTTTCAGTTAAATTAGCACAAGTTATTACTTTATAAGAATCATGATTCTTTGTAGAAATTTAACACAAAGTCAAGCTGGAAAAACTTTTAAGTAAGCAGACAAGTGCCAAAAAAAAAACAATTTTTAGAATGGAATAAAAAAAAAACAATTTGTGTAATTTTTGTACTGTAATTACGATAAAATGATGTAACTTATGAATTTCTTGCAGGTAAACACGTTTAAAAAAGCGACTGAAAGAAGTTGAAGATCTAATTATCCGTGAAACGAGAATTTGATTTGGCATTCCACTTCTGGATTTAATCGAATTTTTCTTCCGTCAAGATGAAGATCCGACTGTTGAAAAGTTTTCTGTATTACTTTCATCTGAGGCAGGGAACCATCCTTATCGCTATACTCCAGCTGGTGAGAGAAAAATTGAAATTTAATTTTTATTTGTACAAAAAAAAATTTTACTTTATCTTGCAATAGCTGTGATGAAATAAGGGCGCGTTTTTATAGTCTTTCAGATTTATTAAATTGAAAAAGCTTACTTGGCAGTAAAATCGTATTTGCAAAATATCTATAAATTATCATTTGTGTTGGATTAATAACTATATTAATATTTCACAACTACTATACAAATTTTTTAACAAAACAATTCCAAGTAATATGCAAGGAAAATTAGTAACTTACTTCAGTATTGATTGTGCAACTGACAAGGGAGTAGATGAAACAAATAAAAGTATTTACATTTTAAAAGAATAAATATTAAAATAATATTAAGAAAGATTTTTCGTTTTTTCGAAAATTTTTTGCCACTGGCTTTTATTTTGCACGAAAAACAATTTCCATTCGCATTAGCTTTTTTTATAATCATCATAATCATCAGAAATTTTCAAGGTCAAAGTTTTGATAATTAAAAATTATACCCCAGAAAACCTGCTATTTTCAATGAATTTTTTTCATAATAATATACTGGATATATTTATTTAACAAATTTTTATTGCTAAATATAAAACTGTATTATATTATTAGTTTATACTTTTAGGTTACATTTAATTTAGTATATGAAGGTTTTACACAATAAAACAAATCATTTCAGATGGTGCAGTATAAAAATGAATTGCATTGCACTATTCTGAAGAGCGTAGGTTAACGCTGTACCGAGATAACATTTTCTTTTATTTTTCTGTTGAAAATATTTTTACCACTTAATATTTGAACGAGTAAATTAATAACTTTATCCATACTTTGAAAATTGTAGTTTAATTTAATTTTAATGTTAAAATATATATGAACGAAGAATAGTGAGTTCTCAAAAAAAAAAAATCTTTTTGTTCAATCAAATAGTTACAATAATTATACGTATTTTATGAGAAAATAAAAAAGAAGGTATACTTTAAATTAAGAATACTTGCGGATGATTCATAAAAACTTGCATTTGCATGGGTCGCTTGCAAATTACAGATAAACTTTACGATTGGCTTAAAACCTGAAAAAAAAATATTAAAAAAAGGAAAAAAAAATTTTTTCCCACACCAACCAGGTACTATCCAGCTACATACTGGTATTCTTCGTTCTCGGGCTAACCCACGAGGCCGGGATCCAAGAAATGATAGCGCGCGACCGAGCCGACGTGCTCGAACGCGAGGCCCTCGAGGAGATCACCTCCAAGCACATTAACAGCCACCGAATGGAACTCGCCCACCACAACGTGGCCGGTACAGGCTCCTCCATCCCTTCTTGTTTTTACCAAAAACACAATTCCATACGATAAAACAATAATTTTACCCGATCCACAGAAAGAGTCTACTTGGTCTACTGCGGCCTCGTGATCGTCATCGTGCACTTTACATCGACCCTGTGTCTACTCTACGGCGCGCTAATGGTACATACGGTGGTGTAAAAATATTTCCCCGAAAAAAACCCTTGAAAAAAAAAAAAAACACAAAAATTTTATCTACAGAACAATCGCTACCTGATGACCCCGTGGATGATGGTGATGATGACGGTGATCGTGGCCCTGATAATAACTCTCTTCCTGGTCGAGGAGGACTGCCCGTTCATCGCCCTCATAGGCGGACGAGCCAACGTAATCGACCGTACGTATATCGCGAGAAAAAAAAAAAAAAAAAAAAATTAAATAAATAAAAAGCTAAAACGTAAATGTATCCCTCGACCCAAGGTCTGCTGGTGCTGACGCTCGCCTTGATCTGCTTCTACATGTGGCTGGTGGTGTACAGCACGTACCGCGTCCTCGAGATCAAACGGGGTGGGATAATCCACGAGGTGCACACCGTGGGGGACAACAAACGGTACACGCGCGCCACGAGCAAGGGACTCGTCAGCAGCGACGGGCGAAAAGCTCAGAGGCAGCACGTCTCTTTGAACGAACCGTACGACGTTTGAAGGGCTTAAGGAGTTTCTCGAGATATTTTTCTGACTATACGAAGGATGGATGCACGAGGCTTTTTTTTTTCTTCTCTCATCGCTTTGGCGAATAAATGGAAGTCGATTTTTACTCTTGTAAGTTACGAAGGGGTTGTGTCGCAAGTATAACATGCAGGTGCTGCACGGGACAAAATGGTAAAGCTGCTATATACGTGACATATACATAATATAATACATAAACGTTATATATTTTTGGTACTTGGGTGTCGCTCGCGAGTTGCTGTCTTGTACGCGTTGGTGTGTATAATTATATACATAAATGTGTTGTACGCCGCTTGACGCACGTCGCGAAAGAGGAGAAGAACAATAATTATAATTGCGGTAAAACGTGTATTTTAATATATATTACGTGGAAAATGATAATAATATCCTCATATCTTTTAAAAGTAATAATCGTCATTACGTGGATAAGTGTGGAACTATATCATGTAGCTAGGGCATTGTCGTGCAAGTTTCAAACTTATGGTGATTTTTTTTGTTTAATAATTGTAGTGGGTGGAGGGTAAAAAATCATCCAACTTTGAGTTATAATTTATTTTTATTTTATTTTTTTCGGCGATTCCACAATTAGGTCGGGTTTAGGTGATTGTTGATTTTTTTTGTTACTGCTTTGTACGATAATCTCTGTTATACGATTTTTTTATGTTTGAGGTGATTAAGTATGGTAAACCTCATTCGAAGCGAAATGATCTCGAAAAGTATTGTAATTTGTACATATACACCAAAATTGTTGAAATTAAGTATGTATAGTTTTATTAAATTATTATGTATTATGCGCCCATGTTTTTTTTTTTT